AAGGTGATGAAGGACTGGTAGAAGTAGAATTTTCCCACAAATGATATGAGTTGGACTGACGTTTCCATTGGGGGAAAATACTACCATCAGTCCTTCATCACCTTAAACGGAATAGGGTGAATACATTTTACTGATTTACTGAAAGTCTCGAAACTCTACTTACCTGTGAAAAATAACACTGTTTTGCCTTTGTCGGCTTTCATAGCGATTAGATTATTGCTACATGGCTATCTAGAAACTCAACTAAGTAGACAAGCTCTCTTTGGCCGAATTATATTGTCAAAATGAGGAGTCAACTACAGTTCAATACTATGCCTTACCTCATCGGGCAATATATCAGATAGGCTAATTAATTCAACAAGTATGTCTATAGAATGGTTTACCTCATTTTGAAGAGCAAAATTCAATCCTCCTCCCAATAAAATTACCACATTATCTTCCAGAGTTGTACTGGATAAATTGTTTACCCTTCCTATCCCAGTTTGCTAAAAACATGTTTACTAAGCCGTAACCTAGGCGCAATGTTTATCGACCTAATTCTAATTCTAAAGTTTCTGAATTTCTTATCGTGCATCAGCCCCGTTATTCTGTCAGTCGCCTCTCCTAACCCGTCAGCCATATCTTGTAACCTAAGTAAATCCACATAATCCAATATCTCAGAAAGGGATTGCCTAAGCCTAATTTTGGTTCTAACTAGTTCGTGTAGTTTTTTAATGCTTTCCTTGAGCCTAGTTTTAACCAAACCACACGGTACCTAATCAAGTTCCCTATTCGTAGACGTCGGTAGATTAAAACGTCTGCCGAGTAAACAACACATATAAATAATATTGTAAGAAATACAAATTTAAAAAATCTAATTCTATTAACTTGCCTGAAAATGGTTTTCTTGGTTATAGCGTAGCGAGAAGACAATTGACACGTACGTATATTGTATATACGAAGAGTAAATTGGTTTCGACGAATCTCCAATGATAACAAAATTTAGGAGAATTTTATTTCATATAAAAGTGCAGGAAAAAGAGATTCCTAGGTCGATCTCAGCAGAAGAGGACAGCTGAATCTCGTTGTAGTGCAGCCGTTTGGCTTTTATACGAAATTCGATTTGACGCAGTCCACATGACATCCTCCATCTTTTCGGGTGAAAACGAGCTGAGCTTTCGTAGAGCTTGAATAAGGACTGTAGCAAATGCGAATAAAAGTTGGGTTTCGAGGAATCACTTGTTTCATAATTGTTGGGGTTACTTTCTTGACTCGTTAGCTTGAATTAGGTTGGAAGGATGATACCTAGCTCTGATGATATTCGTTATATGACGGACGAATGCTTAGCATATTTTCACCGGAATCGAAAGATATTAACTGTCAAATAGCGTCAACATGAATGTTCCAGTTAAGCCAATTGACAGCTGTCAAGAGGAATCCGCCGTCGTCTTCTGGTGGAATCGACCTTAGAATCTCTTCCCCACACATTTTCAATCGAAATAGAAGTGAGCTTAACAAGAGGTGTAGCCCCTGAAGGTCATATACGGTGGTGAGAAGCTGGAAGCTGAATTTTCCCACGATGATATTACTGTACCTCACAACCTATCGCGATTACAGCTATTATCCCAAACAATTGTTTATATTTTTTAGTATACTTTAACTTATTTTGGTATCTAGCTAAAGGGTATCAAAAATGTCATAAATCGGATCTAAACTTGGGCCATATTTAAATAAGATAAATGTATCAAAAATACCAGTAAATTCTTTGCGAGGATAGTGTAAGCTACCGGAGAATGCAGACGTCTTTTTCGGGTTTTTGAGACCATTCTATCCTCAATTAGGCTAACAAGGCACAAGCTATGATATGGAATACATTATCGATTAGCCTGAAGAATAATGCCTTCTTTCTGTATTATTATTTTGAGCAAGGTAGCATCACCTTAGCATAGACAGCTAGTTGAGGAAGACGTGGAAACTAACCAATTTATAAATTCATTTTAAGTATTAAATAAGCTTAATTCACATTGAGTGTATTTTTATACTAACAGTAAATATTAAATAACATATTCATTCGTGTTTAGCCACAAATTTGACAAAGGACTTATAAAGCAATTCAAGTTCAAATATCATTTTGTCTCAATAGAATGTATAATTTCTGCAAATTTTTTTCACTTAGAGCTATCATCGGCTCAATTTGGGCGGATAGTTAGAGGGAAGGAGGCGTCAAAGAAAAATATGTGACAGATAAACTCACTTCGATTTGGAATGAAAGCGGAGGAGAATAATAATTATGAAAAATGATTTACATTCCCCTAAATAAATATTATATAAAATAATGGAATCTGCTTATTAATCTACTAGAGGAAATAATACAAACGAAGTGGTCCTGGAAGATATTGGCGTAGTTTGAACTCTTCAATTGTTAGGGTAGAGGCGAAGGACTGTAGTTAACAGGGATCTCCCACCAGTAAGGGATAAAAGGTTAACGAGAAAAGCGAGGTGAGTGCTAAAACGAAATATATAAGGATACAGACTAATTAAACATTTTTTTGTTCAGAGCTAGGTTTTCCACAATTGGGTAATCTTTTGAAATAGTGCCTTAGTTTAGCTGGCTACAATGTTAGCATTATTCATACTATACTAGTTTATTGCTATGGTCAATATTTTTATAGAATACCATTTATTGTATTTGCATAATAACATGAAATAAACGAACAACGAAAGCATCACATTCTCAATTGATCCAAAAACGCCTCTATTTTGGTGGCAGTCTACTTCATATATATAAAAGTGGTCTTACTTCGTTTTCGCAACTTGGCCGTATTATCAGGGGGA